CACGATAATGAACTTAGTGACCTCAACTGGATTTAGAACTCAGCATTCCGATATCACGTATTACACTGAGATCTATGCTACGCATACATACATATATATATATATATATATATATATATATATATATATATATATATATATATATATATATATATGTATATATTACTTTAAACATTATTTTTAGTGGATACCTATATTGCGTCGACTGGCCTGAACATTAGAGAATACTCAAAGCCGCATTTTTATTTAATAAGAAAAAATAAACGGAACGTCTACTCAAATATGTGTATCCGTTAAAAACAATGTTTAAAGTAAATAAAATTAATCCGATTAATAAATTTTAAGAATCCTTTATTTTTATATACAAGGGTCTTTATCGTAATATTACTCAGTAATATTTCAGCTCAAAGTCATTTGTTTTACAGATTTCCTAAGCTTTTTTACTTTGAATGTATTTAATTCATGGATTATTATTAAACTTTTTTCTTGTTTTATATTAACGTTTTTATTGTTTTATAGATTACGCTAATAAAAAATGCGGACAACCTAATATCATAAAAAATAAAGATATATTTATATCAAACCATATGTAACTCAGAGAGAAAATAATGACATAATCAAGATGTAGATTTTCCACACTGCTTCAAGCAAAAGGTTAGGAAGGAAACCGCAATAATACTGGAAAGAGCGATAGCAGATTGAGAAACCTATTTCCCTGAAAATTGTTTCTTTCAGCCAGAAATTACATTGTCTATGAATACTACCGAAAGTTTCCACACAAGGAAATGGTTAATATTACTATATATATATATATATATATATATATATATATATATATATATATATATATTATATAATATTTTTTCTTTAAAAATATGATTCCTTCGTTACATAAGAGTTCTCATGTTTCAAAAACGAGACCCGAAACCATCCAAATAATTATTAAAATGAAGTTGAATTAAGGTGTTTAGTCCCGTTTCATCTTCAAGCGAAATTTTTAGGAATTTTCGGCTCTAGTTTTTGAAACATGAGAACTGTTATGAAGCGAAGGAATCATATTTTAAACAAAAAAATATTATTATAATACAGTATTATTATATGTATTATTATAATAAAGCTCTACTTCTGTATAGAGCACTGTCTTCTTAAAAATAAAACCAAAAATACTAAGAAACTCCGGATTATGCACCCAACGTGTTCTTTTTTCTATTTTCTACATACCTGCGCATTATATATATATATATATATATATATATATATATATATATATGTCAAATTAAAAATTCATTTATTCTTAGGAAATTGCTTTGTTTGTGTTTCGGATATGAAACTGAGCAGATACGGGCTTTCGAAAAAATATCGTAGTGCGAAAATATGCTTTCCTTAAAAGGGAAAATAGAACCTTGCTGTACTGGGAAACTCTTCGTAGCCGAACGGTAAAGCACACCTGATCAAATAGTGGTTTCTACTACAATGGGCGACGCAGTTTCGATTCCTTTTCGTTATTAAGATTTCACGAATACGCAAGCCGATGGATGTATAACACACTGTTTAAAGTAAAAATAAAAATGGCGCGTATGTTTCCAATACAAATATGCGTTAATACCGTTTGAAGTAATACATATACGAATATAATTATATATATGTGTGTGTGTGTGCGCGCGCGCGTGTGTGTGGGTTTCTATAAATTCAAAATATTTCAACTGTTGGTTTCAAATTCACAGAAACACATATACATACTCACAGACAACTTAACCCCCTGAAGATGGTCTCAGACGAGATTGAAATTACTTGGGAAAATTAAAACTATTCGAAAGAAAATTATCGTATTTATTTTACTCAATTTTCTAAATCTACCAAAAAATTAATCCACAAACTTGAAAGGATCACAACGAAAACTAATCGATATGATGAGTCTAAATTATTTAACCAAACCTGTTTGAATAAAAATATGCTGCCTAAATACACACACACACACACACACACACACACACACACACACACATTCTGTATAGAGCACTGTCTTCTTAAAAATAAAATCAAAAATACTAAGAAACTCCGGATTATGCACCCAACGTGTTCTTTTCTATTTTCTACATACCTGCGCATTATATATATATATATATATATATATATATATATATATATGCAAGTTTCATTGAATACGACAAACAAGGTGTTTTGATTTTTTTTATACATTTTCTCACGTGATCTCATAATTGCTTTTTTTTTTTCGGAGGATAAATTATATAAAAGCTGGACAATTGCTCTTTCTTTCCGACCGCTTTCGGCTATCCATTTAGCCATTTTTCAAGATTGAGATATATTAACTGTTCACATGAAATAGATTGTTGCATGTATGTATTCATATAATGTTTTCATTTTCAAAACACGGTCAAGATATTTTGTCCATGTTCATAGTTGATATTATAGAGTGTTTTTTTTGTTTTTTATTAATAAGGCTTCCATTATGTTTTAGACTTTATATATATATATATATATATATATATATATATATATATATATATGATTAAAAAAAAAAATTAACAATTCATTTTACGCAACAAATATTTATTTTTAAATATGATCTACATCTTTCTCAATGTACTTAATTTAGAATTGAGTATTAATCACGTAGTTTGTGTATTACGCAGTTAAAATTGCAGAACAATATTGATAACTCCGTGTCAGGCTACCCACTTATTGACACACCTTTGCATTTATATTCATATACGTATTATTTATATGTATATTTATATTATATGTATATTTATATTATACGCATACACATACACACATACATATATATATATATTATTTATAAATATATATATATAAATTATATATCTATATTTATATTATATGTATATTTATATTATACACATACATATACACACACACACATATATATATATTATTTGTAAATATTATTTATATATATAATATTATTTTTTTTTATATATATAATATATATATTTATATATATATTATATATTAATATATTTATATTATATATATATATTATATATATTAATATTATATTTATATATATATATATATATATATATATATATATATATATATATATATATATATATATATTATATTTATATTTGCGTAACCACATTATATTAATTATATTAATGTTATATTTATGTGTATATAGTATATATAATATATGTATATTTCTGGTTGCTCTTAGCGTTATATTTATATACATATGTAATCTTTTTATTTTTATTAATAATTATTATTTACTAAACCTTATTGGATAACGATATATAAAATTTGTGTAATTTTTTTATCTATCAAGAACAGTTTTGAATGAAAAGATGTATGGTAATTTGGAAAAAGTTTTGTGACGCTTTTCTTCCGATGATGCCTTAAGTGATGTCAAACGTTATGTATATATATATATTTACTTCCGGTTTTTAACGATGTATTTAGTTTCTAGTTTTTAAATGACAAGTTAGAAAAATTTGTCAAAAACATTTCGATATATTTAAAATATACCTAAATATATTTATCTAAACATTCATTATTAATATTAATGTTTATTATTTCTATTTATTTACATGTTATTTAAAGCATCCCAAAAAGTACATATTTTAGGCGTTCAATAAATGTTTGCTTTATTTTTATTTTATTTTCCTTAAGCAATAATATATATATATATATATATATATATATATATATATAGATAGATAGATAGATAGATAGATAAATAGATAGATAGATAGATATAGATAGATAGAGAGAGAGCATTTACTTAAATAAATTATGTTTATAAAAATAATGGAAAATATATTAAAATTATAGTCGGAATTAATCCATTACATAATATGTTGTTATTGTTTACGTTAAGTTATATTCCGTGAGAAGATATGATCAATTAAGAAAAATCCTCGAAGATGTGTTTATATACAGAATTTCGGACTTTGCTAACCAGACACTTCCTTGTAGTTGAATGCTTAACAGCACATCAGATCAAATGAGTTAAAGGTTACAGGTTCGATTCCTGTCGGAGAAGCACATATTTTCTACGAAATTTCTTGAACATTCAGGCCGGTAAATGAAATTAATACTGTTTAATTAAGAAACAAAGCATTTGCTTAAATAAATTATATCTATAAAAATAACGTATGACTGTCGAAATTAATCCATTATATATATATATATATATATATATATATATATATATATATATATATATATATATATATATATATATATATATGTGTGTGTGGGGTACCTAGTCAGTAAAACTAGATATATATTGATTTTTTTAAAGCTTATTTAGCTTTTACATGTTATTCAAAGCCAGAGAATATCTTTAGATTGTAAGAATTTTTGTAGAAAATTAATGATTTACTGTTATAAGCCCTACTATTTAATCCATAGCTGGGGGAGAAGAGGTTGATTCATGCCTTTCCCAATGGAGATTTGAGTGTAAGTGCATATAAAGAACCCGACTGGAATTGGAACTCTGTTTTCCGATTTCCAGTTGACATCCCTTACATCACTCCGCACATACAAGCTTACAGCATCTGACCTTTCCAAGCGGTCACCCATATAAGTACTGACCTGGTTCAACGTTGCTTAACTTCGGTGACCGTACGGGAACCGGGTTATCAACATGAAGTCCATTAGATATAGAAATTGTAATTAAATTAAGAATATTCGCAAAAGAAGGCGTACATGTTGGTGATACGTTCTTATATAAACCAATATCATTCTTTGAAATCTACTGTTGGTATTTACAATGCTTAAGTTAATTTGGCACAAATCCACACATATGGAATAGCGAGAGGTGCTCGAATTTCATTAATAAATATATAAATCCTCAACTTGCAGTCGATTTACATCACAGTGAGGGACCAATATGAACACTGATGTTAATCTAATTAAATGATAAAAACTTGGGGTACAAATTTAGCGCAAATTTAAATTACATATTTTCTTATTTCCAAACCAATACGTACATACGTATATGTATAAAGATACACAGAGTAGAAGAACGTTTTCGGAAGTGATATTTATTGTGTGCTTCTAAAACGGACGATAGCGAATATTATGGCCTTTTACCAGACAAGAAATTTAATAAACACTTACATGCAATAGATAGATAGATAGATAGATAGATAGATAGATAGATAGATAGATAGATAGATATGAAAGCTTTTGAAAAATATATATGAACGAAAATTCACAGATAGATAGATAGATAGATAGATAGATAGATAGATAGATAGATAGATGGAAAAAAATTACAAAAATATTCTCGTTCAAATAAACATATAAAGCTATACTCTGCCTTTGTCTTTAAAAGGCTTTGTCTCTAGCAAGACAATTCATGGACATTTTGTTTTATGTGTAGTGTTGTGCCCCTACATACAAATATATATATATATATATATATATATATATATATATATATATATATATATATATAATATTGCACAGTGGGTGTTGGTAATAAAACAGTGTTCGATGCAAAATAATATAGCTTAAATTTAACCTAATAATCCTTATCGAAATTTTTATTAGTATATATATATATATATAGATAGATAGATAGATAGATAGATAGATAGATAGATAGATAATATATATATAGATATAGATATAGACACACACACATATGTATATATATATGTGTGTTTGTGTGTGTATGTATATGTATGTATGCATTTATGTATGTATGTATGTATGTTTTTGAATAAAATTGACGTTGCATATCAACTATTCACTAAATAATTTTATGAATCCATAATTTATTAAAAATAACCATGTTGCTTTAACTGCCTACTTTAAACGCGTGCGTATGCTCATCATCATGTTCTCTTACGAGCATTTCTCAGTAATTTCTTTTTTATATACACACACACACACACATATATATATATATATATATATATATATATATATATATATATATATATATATATATATATATATATATATATGAATGTGTGATTATATATAAGAATATCTACGTTACTGTAAAATAAGACGTTCAACTTGTTTATTTCGAGTTTCTCAGTTATTGAGCCTTTTCTCGATAGGAGAGGGAAAATGACAATCCCTGTTTATATAAATAGATGTTTTTTTAACAATTTGCTTTTATTGATATAATCACCTACCAGATAGATAAACAGATAATGCTAATAGACTGCGATAGATAGATAGATAGATAGATAGATAGATAGATAGTGAACATCTACTTTTGATCCATATTTGATAAATATATCACATGGACTTTTTAATATATATTTAAAAACCCAACTAAATCTTTCTGCAAAATTAATATCCGTCATCTAAAGTTTGATATTCAAAATTACGTCCGTATCTTGCATATGAAAATGTTTCTCTGTCATTTATTTTTTAATAATCCGATATTTTTATGTATTCGCACTTTATGCATAATATTTATAAATACGTATAAAGTTATGCTTACGACTAATAGTATATGCCTACACATTAACATAGTTGTCATATATATATATATATATATATATATATATATATATATATATATCAGGTGGTATTTACATTTGTGTTTGCACTCATGTGTACGTAAGTACGTAAGTACGTACGTGGATGTCGGTGAGTATGTGTAAATCTGTGCGTAGTAATTGTTCAATATAATTACTTATATCATCTAACATGAAAACTATGTATGTATGCAAGTGTATGTTGGAGGAGTTTTTATCATTTACAGGGTGTTTATAAAATCTCTTTACAGTTTAAAAAATATATTACAAAGGCGATTGATGAGATATCTTAATCAGATTTTTTTCCGATGTACTTAATAGTTATCAAAGTTTTTTAATCGCATTGCAGTTGTGCTTTTCAGGTATCCTGTTGATGAAGTGGGTACTCTAACCTCTAAAAATGGCTACTTCTCAAGAAATGGCACAATGTGTGTCATGCTTTATTGAAACAAAATCGGATACGCAGACTCAGCGTAAGAACTAAGTATGGAAGAAATCCACTGTCACGTCCGTCAATTCGTGCATGGCACAAGAAATTTATGTAGACAGGGACAGTGTTGGATTAAGAGAGGAGGGGGGACGACCAAGAACATCCGAGGAAAACATCTTGAAGTGCTTCGTGCAACTAAGTGGCTATGTAGAGGCGTATTAAACTGGGCACACCGAGGCGGTGTAATGGCTAGCAAGCTTGTCTTGCTAGAACATTTTCGACTGAGTAGTGAGCTCGATCCTCACTGGGTGCCCCATACATTCGGCCTTGTGCCACTTCTAAGCTACGCTGGGAAAAATCAGTAGTGCGTAAATCCCTCTCTTGACGGGTTTGTAACACATCTATTTATCACCTCTCAGTTACGTCTCTGACTTTGGGCAGAGTGCACTCATAGGCGACACCGTCAGAGTCGCAACAGAAGAAAATTATACCAAGAGTTGCCCAAACCCTGGGGAACAGCTGCCCGATGCCACACCCCCTCATTACACCAGAGAGAGAGAGAGATCGGTGCTCTCACCGAGGCCAGCGCAACCGGCGGTTGCAGGGGCTGCGGGCAATTTTTGTTCCTGGCCCGGGTGTACCCGCTCGGGACCCCACCTTAAAAAATGACCATGTATGACAACTCGTGGGAAGACAGAGTAAATACCTAGAGGTGTATTAAATTAGTTAAAAAAATTCAATATCTCCTCATTTTGTAACAATTTTAATATATTTGTCTATTCATTTGCTTTTGTAATAATAATTTTTTTTCAAATTATAAAAAGACTTTATGGACACCCTGAATAATAAATAATATGCAAAATAAATGTGGGGATGGTGAGACGAAGTGGTAAATTTATTAACGACGCGTTTCGCCGAGACATAATATAGATATAGATAAAATAAATAGGTGGACAGATACTCTCTTAAGTCCAGACATTGGAGATGATAAGTTAATGCAATCCAATTTGATTTATGGTTTCACTTATCCTCAGTGATCCCAAAACTGATATAGAGTTTTGTCTTTGCGAAGACAAAAGAGCAGACGCTCTCGGCGAAACGCGTCTTTAATAAATTTTCTGCCATGTCTCATAATCTTCACAGACACACACACACACACACACACACACTCACACACACACAGATATACATATATATATATATATATATATATATATATATATATATATATATATATATATATTAAAAGCGACAGGAAAATTAACCATTTGTTAGATTAACCTTTAAAGCGTTCTATCTTAGATATCTTACTGGAATTCTCCGAGGTTTTTATAACACTATTGGACTCTACTTTGAGAAATAAGAATATATAATTACTCTCCAACCTTAACAGAAGAATCGTGATGAAATCGATCATAAACGAAAATGACATATTCATAATTAATTAATCAGGATCGGAAACTCATGAAGTACTGAAATAAAGTTCAAATATATATATATATATATATATATATATATATATATATATATTATTCCAGGATCATTTTCCATTTTATTCAAGTTGATCTTCGCCCTCTTTAAACTTCTAACTTTCTGTCCCGGAGCAACAAGGTACATGAAAGGTTTCATGTACTATTTCATTTTCAAGTATTTTTTCACTGCTCTTTGAAACTCATCTTTCACGTGCCAAAGGTCTTATGGATTGAGTTGGATCTTTTCTAATTGATTTATTTAACTCTAACTTGAAATGATGACCCCTTTTCCTGTTGTGACCTCCTGATCCAGTTTTCCTCTCTACTGTTCTCTCTTTTTTTAATTTATTCACCGTTTTCTTGATGGTTCTTGAATAGATTTTGAAGATGAAAGCCAGAATATGAATTTTGGTCCGATTACTGAAGGTCTGAATGATCTTTTTCCTTTCCATATTGCTCAATTGGGCTGAAACACAACGATTTTAACCTGTTCTCTTTCAAGCTGAATGACTCAACAGGTTATTCTTATGACAAATGGTGACAAAATGGCTAAATATCTTATCTGAAAACCTGGAAAAAAGAAACTTAATTTGTTTAGTGTTTTTTTTTAGATATTAAACATTTTGTGGAATGTACAATTATGCTGTTACACGATTTAGACAATTTTGCTGTTATACATATATATATATATATATATATATATATATATATATATATATATATATATAAGACAGTTCGTTAAGTCAACAATCGTCAGGCCACCTGACTGATTTTATATATATGCAATCGTCAGACTGTTGCCTATAACATTGACTTTATGTTCACTTTTATTTATTAACACGCTCTATCTCTGATATTAAGCACTTTATTCTATAAATATAGCACACCTTAAGACTATATTTCTTTATATATATATATATATATATATATATGTGTGTGTGTGTGTGTGTGTATGTTATTATTATTATTACTCTGAAATAATAAAAATCTTGGATTAAATTAAATACACTATTTCTTTAGAAATTACTTATTACTCTGAAATATATATATATGTATCATATCTGAAATATGTATATATCATATCTGAAATATGTATATATATATATGCATATATATATATATATATATATGTATATATATATATATATATATATATATATATATATATATATATATATATATATATATATATATATATGTATGTATGTATGTGTAGCAAACCATTTTAGACAGGTTTCATTGAAGAAGACAGTCAAGGAACATCGATTAAGTTTTTTCATCATATTTTTCTTGCATGCGTACAAGAGATTTTATTATTCGACATCGAGAATGTAAGAAATGTTCAAATGATCTTTGGATCTATCAACCATTAACAATAATGCATTTCTTTAATTAGGAAGACGCCTACAATGTGCTGATTATTTATCTGGAATTAAAACATTTCTATCGCTAAAATAATTCATTCTTCATAATCTCCATATTAAGACAAACAGAAACATTCTTGATAAGCGCTCGAAAGCACAGATCTTTTGAATAGTATAATACTTACACATTCCAAAGAAGAAATCTTTCATAAGCATGCACGAAAAATATAATAAAAAACTTAATCGCTCTGATATGTCAGTCATCTTCAATGAAATCTGTATACAAATATATATATATATATATATATATATATATATATATATATATATATATATATATATATATATATATATATATAAACACACACACAACATACGCACACACAAACACAAATATATATATATATATATATATGAAACACAAACACCCTCAAACACACACACACACACACACACACATATATATATATATATATATATATATATATATATATATATATATATATATATATATAAATTAATTGATTTAAAATATGGTTTTTTCGCTTTTTTATATAATCCGGTGTTCTTATAGATATTTTTATTTTTCTGTAAATTTACATTGAGCACTATTTTGTAAAAATAAAAATATCTATACGAACACCGGATTATATATCTTACTGTTCTTTCTTTTTATTTATATACACATATATTGGGCCGGTGAGTGCTCCTCCGGAATTCCCGACCCTGGTGGGGCAAGCCTGACTGGGGGCCCAGGGCTGTGTTTTGTGACCTTCACCATTTGCTTTTTTTACCTACATTTATATACGTTACAGATTAAACTCAGCACCACTGACTATTAAATGATGACAAATTTCGCGAATTTGATGTCATTCTAGGTTTGTTTTTCTTTTTTGTCTAAATCCGTGAATTAATTTTACTCATGCTAAAGTTCTTAAAAAAAAGCTATATAAAATTCACTATTTTTATCGACAATGTTGAATGCGTTAAAATTATCCAAATTTTTTTAAGAAAAATCTCAAATCGCATAAATATACCAAATTTTAAACAATAAATATATATATGTGTGTGTGTGTGTGTGTGTGTGTGTGTGTGTGTGTGTGTGTGTGTGTGTGTGTGTGTGTATTTAGGCATCAATCCTTCTTTCATGTACATTTCCTTGAAAATGACAACTATTTCTTATTTAACAGTTAAAATATTTCATCCCTGAAAATGGTTAAATGTATAGCCGAAAGCGCTTGTAAAAAGAACATTCGGACGGTTTTTACATAATTTATCATCTGAAAAGAAAGAAATTATTACATCACATGAGAAATTGTATAAAAAAACAAAATGAAAGCACCTTGTCTGTCGTTTTCAATGAAAATATGGGGGGGGGTTCGGAATTAATTGATGCATCGTATCAACTTAATCCTTGAATACTTATCCTTGAATAATTATATGATTTCGTAAAGAACTCAGTCATTGTAACTGCCGTCTTTAAAGTGCTACCTATGTTCATTATCTTCGTATTCTCTTACAAGATTTTTTCGTTAAGTTACTTCTACAGTGTGTATGTCACTCAAAAACAAAGCTCATTTATTTGAACTGAAATACTCTTTCGGTAATAAGGCTATTTTAGACTCCACGCTTCTTTGATCGTCTCTCTTGAATTGTAAACCAATTACTTCAAAATCAACACTTGTCGTGTCGGATCGGTACGACGTCATAATGCTGAACGCTGATTTCATTTATTTTATTTTTTTTTTTGTAAATGTATTACATATTTCTTTCGATTATTACTTTTTCTGCTTCTTCTTTTTCTTCTTCTTCTTCATCATCATCATCATTGTTAGGTGTTTCGCAATGAAATGGTTATTCAAGTGTAAGACACACTAGAAAAGATAATATATGTGATAAATCTTCTTTGAAACTCTTCTCACCGAAATAGCAAATAATTTTTACTATTATATATATATATATATATATATATATATATATATATATATATATATATATATATATATATACCACAACACATTTAGAAATTAATTCATAATTTTTCTCGTGTAAATATATATATATATATATATATATATATATATATACACGAGAAAATTATGAATTAATTTCTAAATATGGTCTGTTTATGATCAATGACTACAAAAATATATTTTCTTATTTTTTTTATGACTGCTTCAAAAGACAAAATCAAGAAATTTAAGAATTCGTTTAACATTTCTCATTATATATATATATATATATATATGGGGCTATTAAACTTAACTTGTGGCTATAGTAGTTGCATATCTGTAATCAGCGCCACATGTCGGTGTTCAAATGCCAGTAAGCCGTACGCTGATTTTCAAGGAACTACTTCAAAAATTTCTTCCGGTGTGGCCCAGACGAATATAAAACTTATGCATGCATAAATAGATTCATATAAATATAAATATTATATATATATATATATATATATATATATATATATATATATATATATATATATATATATATATATATATGAGTGTGTGTGCGTGTGTGTGTGTGTGTATACACGCACACATAAAAATATAAATATATATATATTATATATTTTCTGTTTATATTTTTTTATAGATATAATTTATTTAATCAAATGCTCTGTTTTTTAATTAAACAGTATTAATTACATTTACCGGCCTGAATGTTCGAGAAATTTCATAGAAAATATGTGTCCTCCGACAGGCCGGTAAATGTAATTAATACTGTTTAATAAAAAACAGAGCATTTTTTACTTAAATAAATTATATCTATAAAAATAACGTATAAACAAAAAATATAAATAATTGTCGGACTTAATTCATTTCAGAGCACACACATATACATAAATATATTATGTCTGTACCCACACACACACAGACATACACACACACACACACGCACACATATATAAAATTTACAGGCGATACATACATACATTCATACATACACAATATATATATATATATATACATGCATACATACATACATTCATACATACACAGACACTATATATATATATATATATATATATATATATATATACATACATATATATTGTGTCTGTGTATGTATGAATGTATGTATGTATCGCCTGTAGATTTTTATTTTTGTCACGTATACTCAGAGGTATGTATGCACAGAAAGAAAGAAAGAAAGAAAGGAAGGAAGAAAGAAAGAAAGAAAGAAAGAAAGAAAGAAAGAAAGAAAGAAAGAAAGAAAGAAAGAAAAGGTTAGTTTTTACGCTTAATAGTTTAAAGGGGCTTGTGTTTATATTAAATATTAGGGTTTTATAATTTTGCAATAAATGGGCGAAAGAAATTTATTTTAAACCTCGCTAAATTGGAAATACGGATTATATTCCAGTTAATAATAGTCGATCTATTTCTTCTTATTGTCCATCGAAATGTGCTTGGCTATCATTTATGCCCGGCGATCTTATTTATACACCATCAATTATCAAAATTTAATAATTTAAACGATTTAAATCATTTCATTTTTTTATACTCCAAACATACATTATTTTGTACGTTTCAAACTTAGTGTTTATGACTTATATGCTTTAAGATATATTTCATTTTCACTATATTTATATTAGTAATATGAAAACCTTGTTGAAACAATGATGGTAAAATCGTAATAATTCGTTGAATACTTCAGTGAACTCTGTAAAACTGTGTAGGTACATATCTAGAACAATTAAAATTGCGTTTAAAATACAAATATTAAAAACTCACAGGAATTTCTGTATAATATACATACATACATATGTGTGTACGTGTGTGTGTGTAGCTAGCTAGCTAGCTAGCTAGCTAGCTAGATAGATAGATAGATAGATAGATAGATAGATTATATTTTTATTAGATACACGTATTTGAGAAAACGCTTCTTTTAAAGAGTATTTATTTCGTCTACTGGCGAAAACTAAAGAAACCTTAATAAAGAAATTAGACAAAACAAATTACTTTTTAAAATATACAGGGCGTCTACTCAAATATGGGTATCCACTAAAAATAACGTTTGAAGTAATAAAATATATCGGATTAAAAAATAAAGTCCATTTAATTCTTTAGAAATATATATATATATATATATATATATATATATATATATATATATATATATATATGTGCATCTCTCTATATATATATATGTACATAAAGTTATGTTGTATATATTAAGAGAGGTGTTTATTGTGAAATTAAACCGTCTAAGTTTGTTCAAATTTTATCGATTTCTTTCAATTTTTGCATAAGATATTGTATATCGGGGTCAAAATTATGAATTATAGCACGGAAATTCATCCAAACAAGTTTCGTTAAATTAAACTGACAAGGTCTGTCTGGTTAAGTGGCACTAATATTTCATATCATTGTCGGGAAGGCCATTGATTAAGCTGAAAAAGACGTTCGGCATCGTCAAGAGGGACGAAAACAAGTATTAGGAAGAAACGAACACACACACACAGCTCTGGGCAAATGTTCCTTCGTTTTGTTTCTCGTCAAAAGACGAATAGCCACTCGTTATTCGACTAAGTCATACAAATCCAGCCTAAAAGTGATGGCAGAAAGACCTGTTCAAATCATGACCACACTACACATATATATATACTCACATATATATATACTCCAGCACGCACACACACATATATATGTACACATACATACAAAAAGGCGACTTACTGTTTAATGCTCGAGCAATGTGATTAATATTCAACACTGAATTAAGTGCTTTGAAAAAGGAGATTACGTAAAAATAGATATGTTTTGGGTATATATTTATCCTCATTATGTAACTAAAAAATTGATCTGCCTGCGTATATATATATATATATATATATATATATATATATATATATATATATATATATATATATAGGTCGGGTTGTACAGGTAAACCGAAACGTAATCCGTTGAGCAACATCTTTACCAGTCAGAATTCTCAGAGATTCGACCTTTTTATCAAATGACTCAACTTTCATGGCTATTGTAAATAATATATTTATTTGTACTGTATTTAGTTATGTTCTTCTTTTTCCTTTTTTTTTCTTTTTTTTTACTGTAGCTAATATTGGGTTTTAATTTACTGAAATCATGGTTTCACAGAAAAAAAAACATTTTTTCTAAAAATAAATTAAAACCTGATTCTAAAAAAGTATAATTCTGTTTAAAGCTTCATAATTTTTTTCCAATAAAAATTTGCTTCATTCATTTTTTTTTTTCACTGCTAGCCGAAACAATTAACTATTTTCTTCCTTTTTATTCCAAAACTTGTAGCGTGTCATTCAACGGAATGTAAGAGACAGAATATCTCCTCAATATTTCGACGTCCTCTTTATTGTTAATATTTCCAGTTTCCTAGATTTTGTTGTTTGACACATCCCTTGCCAAGTCTTTTACCTGAGATCTAAAAAACTTTTAAATATATTAGACCGAGAGAATTTTTCTGAGTATGCGAGAGGTAGTCAATATTTTTTTTTTTTTTAGTGAGATGTTTTCTGCAATATTCTAAATGTATTTATCAGTATTCTTTTTAATCATTCCTACTGCTCCTTTTATTATTAAAATAGAGAAAACGGAAACGAAAAAACAATTATACTTAACATCAGAAAGAGACAATTGAAATTTCTCACATGGCATATTGAAGGCAAGAGTGACAGAGGAAAACAGCGGATAACCTACCTAACGAACTTGAGCAAATCGATAGTAGAGCAAGGGGAGATAACAAATAGACCAGATTTATAAGAGCTACAAAAGACGGGAAGTTGTGGAGAGTCATGATACTTGAAATTTCTATATCCTGATACTGATATTTTGAAAGTTTGACGAATTATTTTGCTAAGATTGTTTTTTAATCGGACGGGATGACCATGTCAATACAATAGAGCTTATGTATTTTAAATGTCTTATTATTATAGTTGACCTATTGACTTCTATAATGCGGTTCGTAGGTATGATGAAGTCGCAGAGCACATTGACCTTTTTATTTTGTAGCCTCTATTCATATCAATTTTTCTGCACGAAGAAGATTCTCATATTGGCATATCTTTCAGTGCAATTATCTCTGTGCACTATCTTGTTTATTATTATTATTATTATTATTATTATTATTATTATTATTATTATTTTCTTTGATTTCTGGCGTTTACACATTTCTTTCCGGGTCGCGCCCAGGGACCTAAGGTTAGAAATGGCATCATGACACTTTCCACTGACAAAAAAAAAATTCATAGATAAAGCCCTTCATAAAGTGTGGGCTGTACTTGTCAGAACAATTTTTTGTATCTCCTTGGGGCATGGACTTCCAGGAATGCCTTCAATTAGTCTACTGCAATCTTTTCCAACGAGTCCTAGGGCTCCAACTACAACAGGGATTGTTGATGTTCCCATATGCCACATTTTCGAGATTTCTATTTCAAGTTCCTTGTAATTTGAGAGCTTTTTGAATATCTTCAAAGATACATTGCAGTCAGCAGGGACTGCCATATCAATAATGAGGCACTTTTTTGTTTGTGGTCTTTAATCACAATATCTGGGCGGTTGGCCTTGATTGTTCTGTCAGTGTGTATTGTGTAGTCCCATAGAATTGTAACAGGTCTTATCTCCGTAACCGGGTCTGGTTGGTGTTCATACCAGTTTCTTTCAGTTTTCTTCCCGTAGAAGTTGCAGATTTTCCAGTGCAGATATTGACCCACTCTGTCATGCCGGGTTTTAAATTCAGTGGGTGCCAATATCGTGCAACCTGATACCTGCATTTTGTTATTATTATTATTATTATTATTATTATTATTATTATTATTCCTTTGATTTTTGGTGTGTACACATTTCTTTCCGGGTCCTACCCAAAGACCTAAGGTCAGAAATGGCGTCATGACATTTTCCACTGAACAATTAAAACACACACACACACATATTTGACATAGATAAAGGTGCGGGCTGTACTCCTGAGAACAATTTTTTGTATTTCTTTAAGGCATGGGCTTCCAGGAATCCTTTTAATGAGTCCACTGGAATCTTTTCCAACCAATCCGAGGGCTCCAACTTCAATAGAGATTTTTGGTGTTCCCATGTGCCACATTTTTGAGATTTCGATTTCAAGGTCCTTGTATTTTGATAGCTTTTTGAAGATACATTGCAGTCTGCAGGGACTGCCATATCAATAAGGAGGCACATTTTGGTTTGCTGTTTCTAATAACAATGTCTGGGCGATTAGCTTTGATTGTTCTATCTGTGTGTATTGTGTAGTCCCATAAAATTGTTACAGGTCCTACCTCCGTAACCGGATTATTATTATTATTATTATTTGTGTATGATATGTTTCCTGCTTTGTATCCTGTAGATCCGGGTCCAAACTATGGTCCTTAGGCCCTATAGGAGGATTGTCATTTAATTGATAGCACTTTTCTTAGTATATGGGATGTTCCTAGTAGGGCGATCTTCTGGGCAACTTGTATGTTGATGTAACCTGGGACACTGCCAATAAAATTGCCCATTCCTTTTCTCACGAGGCCCAGAGTTCCGATTACTATTGGTACGGTTTCAGTCTTCATTCCCTACATCCTGTTAATCTCAATCTCCATGTCCTTTGTATTTGAACAATTTCTCGATAATTTTCATAGAAGTGTTTCTCTTTATGTTGTATACACATTTTCTTTCCGGGTCCCAACCAGAGACCTACGGTCAGAAATGGGTTCATGACATTTTCCACTGATCTTTTTTGTTAAAAAAAAAAAGAAAAAAAAAACAAGACCACACACATTTTACGTAGATAAAGCTCTTTGTAATATATCAGCTGTACTTGTGGGTACACGTTTTTGTATGGGCTACCAGGAATCCCTACAACGAGTCTACTAGTCCCTTTTCCAATCAAACCGAAGGCCTCAATCACAACTGGGATTATTGATGTTCTCGTGTACCACATTTTTTGAGATTTTCACTTAAAGATCCTTGTATTTTAATTGCTTTTTAAAGATTTCCAAAGATACATTACAATCTGCAGGGGCTGCTATGTCAATAGGAAAGCACATTCTGTTTTATTATTATTATTAGTAGTAGTAGTAGTAGTAGTACAACACTAAGAGAAGAATGTCCTGGGTATGATAAACTACATTTGGCAGCAAGGCCTCTGATTCGTAGATTGTAGGTTTCGAGGAGCGTGCAACAACCTCTTAATTGTTACTGTTCCCAGATACATCCTAACTCAGTTCGGTTGCAGATGTTAGGGTCTCAGCTATGGGAAAATAGTGAAACCCCAAACAAAACACTATGGAAGTATAAAAATACATTTTTTATAATAAAAATACTAGCAGTACATTTTTATGTAAAAAAAGAAGAAAAAACAATAGCAGAAATATCTACTTAGAGTAAAATTATCAGCAATACTTTTTTTTATAGCAACATGACCAGCAATACATTTTACTGTAGTTGAAGGCATAAAATTGCGTTCAAAATGGATTTAGTTTAAGCTATAAAATTGTTCAAATTATTTACATTTCGGCAATAAATAACCCATAGACGTTGATATGCCGCTAACCCAAATAACCAAACTTAGAGCCTGATCTAAGAAAAAAAAAGACATGGTGTTTAATCATGTTTAAAATTATTCCGACAATATTTCGTTTTCCACTAACCTGATGTGTAATGATTGTATTGAATCAATTATTAGGTTTGCTTCAAGGAAAGTTGGTTTACTGTGTAGTGCTAGACAAATTGTTCTCGCCAGAATCTATCTTATACATTTATAAGTCTACAATACGTCCATGCATTCAATAATACTGTCACATTTGAGCTGGTGCTCCTGCTATGTATTTAGAGATCTTCGATAAAACATAAAGCCGTATCTGCAATATTATTGATAAAGTTTTATAATGGCTTAAAACTTCCTTTATCTAGACGGAGATAAATTTTCATAAGATACCCGAGTGTGTGATTTTTATTTTTGTAATTCACTTGTTTTGGGGACTGTCAAGAATTCTGGCTACATATTTATTTAAATATTTCTAAATCATTCCCAGTGCTCCAATAACTACAGGTAGGATGGCTGTTTTGAGATACAACATTCTACTAATTTGTAGCTCAAGATCTTTGAATTTGCTTAGCTTTTCAAATGCTTTGAGAGAGACATTTTTGTCTGTTGGGTCGGAGATATCTGTCAACAAGCACGATTTTTCAAATACGATTAATTTTAACAATAATATCAAATTAGCTTGTGTCTGCCTCTTAGTTTATTATTATTATTATTATTATTATTATTATTATTATTATTAAATGGATTTTCACACTGTCGGCTCGTTATAAGTTCAACTGGCTGAAATTCTCAAATCTTCTGCATATTCCTCAGTATTTAACATAATTGCCGATTGTTTAACATAAACAGAACTTTTCCAATTCTTTTCCAATTCTTCTAATATCTTTGCAATGTTCCTCTTTTATTATTAATTTCTACGAGTAGATTTTTCACCTTTATGATATCTCGTTGCTCTCATAGGCGATCAAGTAACAGCAATTCCTTTAACTACTCCCGTACTCTCCTCAGTATGTGTGCCGTATTCTATAATATTGTTGTTTGAATAATTTCAAATTTTCCTCAGATTTCAAAATAATAATAATGACAATTGACACCTTCATTGTCCATATTTTTTTTAATTTCCTTTTTTTTTTTTTTTTGGTTTTCCAATACTCTTAATTTATTATTATTATTACTTTTATTGTTATTATTATTATTATTATTATTATTATTATTATTATTATTATTATTGAACAAAATGACTGACATGACTCTTTTGCATAACAGCGCGATTTAAGAAATGACACAATGATTAACAATATTTAAAAATATTTCGACAGTATTTTAACAATAATCCTACATTAGGTTGATTACCAGCACAACTGTTTTTTTGACTACAAGCGACGTATTTTTTTTATATTTTTATATATATTTTTATACTTGTATACAAATTTTATAGATAACGGGAAGAAGGCAGACAAACTGTCGAAATATTGTTAGACACAGTTTTTTTCTTCTTTTTTAATTCTTAAATTGCGTTTTTTCTAATTATTATTATTATTATTATTATTGGTGTTGTTGTTATTATTATTATTATTATTATTATTATTATTGGTGTTGTTTTTGTTATAATTGTTGAGTACGAGAGCAGCACGGCAATAAAATGATAGTGGGGTACGTATATATGAAGCCCAATATACCCCATGGTGACATCCAGTCTGATAAGGGTATACCATGCATCACAGCCATATATGCGCGATATGGTGACAGGTTTTGATAAAAGCAGGTGGGGGCCCGCTTAGAAATACCTTCAAGTCAGATAGGCCAGTTCGCTCAGACGGTATCCGATTGACGGGGATTCCGACTATCTATTTATGACACCTAAAACGTGTCGACTGTCTTATCCTTGAAAATAAAATAAAAACAACTCTCGTTCTCTAACAGATTATTATTATTATTAGTAGTAGTAGTAGTATCATAATTATTATTATTAATTAATATTATTATTTTTTATTATTATTAATATTTCCTTTATTATTATTATTATTATTATTATTATTATTATTAATATTATTATTATTCGATTATATCTTGCAAGGAAAGAGCAAAGATACAAAGGACCTTATTGTTTACTTCGAAGAAAACGGCATACATTAATTAACATTGTATATATATATATATATATATATATATATATATATATATATATATATATATATATATTTGTTTATATTAATTATTTGTTTAAACGTTATTTTTTAAATGGATATTCATTTTGAGTAGATGGTCTGTTTTTACTTTTTATTTATTTATTTACATCTACCGGCGTGAATATGCGAATGACGCATATTTATCTAACAAGATTTTTCTAATATTCACGCCGGTAGATGTAAATAAATAAATATACTGTTTAATAAATAAATAAAAACAGACCATCTACTCAGATATGAATATCCATTTCAAAAAATAACGTTTAAACAAATAAATTACAAACGTGGTTAAATCGATAAAACACACACACACACACACACACACACACACATATATATATATATATATATATATATATATATATATATATATATATATATATGTATGTATGTATGTATGTATGTATGTATGTATGCATATGTGTATGTATGCCTGGATGTATGTATGTATGAATGTACATATCTGTGTCTGTGCGTGTGTGTGCATGGTTACAACAATAAGTACAAGTGGTAAATATTTAATTTCATAATCTCAACACATAATTTATTTTTCAACAAAATCTCTTCCTTGTCAATGCACTTAATCTATTGATGAATATTTAACACACAGAACGAACATTATGCTGTGAAATATCCAGATAAGGATCCAGCTAATAACTAAGTGTCACAGTATAGTTTTTCACACTTCCAAATAGATAGATAGATAGATAGATAGATAGATAGATAGATAGATAGATAGATAGGTGTTAATTCGACATGTTTAGCTTATAAAAATCGGGCATTCGAACAATAGCAATTATGCATAGATAGATATAGATAGATAGATAGATAGATAGATAGATGAATAGATAGATAGATAGATAGGTGTTAATTCGACATGTTTAGCTTATAAAAAGCGGGCATTCAGACAATAGCAATTATGCATAGATAGATAGATAGATAGATAGATAGATAGATAGGATGGTTAATTCGACATGTTTAGCTTATAAAAAGCGGGCATTCGAACAATAGCAATTATGCATAGATAGATAGATAGATAGATAGATAGATAGATAGATAGATAGATAGATAGATAGATAGATAGGTGTTAATTCGACATGTTTAGCTTATAAAAAGCGGGCATTCGAACAATAGCAATTATGCATAGATAGATAGATAGATAGATAGATAGATAGATAGATATAGATAGATAGATAGATAGGTGTTAATTCGACATGTTTAGCTTATAAAAAGCGGGCATTCGAACAATAGCAATTATGCATAGATAGATAGATAGATAGATAGATAGATAGATAGATAGATAGATAGGTGTTAATTCGACATGTTTAGCTTATAAAAAGCGGGCATTCGAACAATAGCAATTATGCATAGATAGATAGATAGATAGATAGATAGATAGATAGATAGATAGATAGATAGATAGATAGATAGATAGATAGATTATACAGATGATAAAAATATATAGTTTTAAGTTATGGTATATTTATGACTTAAAGTTATCAGGAGTAGAGCGTATGTGAATATAAAATGGGCAATCAGATCAACACCCAGAGGCGATAGTCTGTTTATTGCTTAAACGCAATCGTCTGTTTCATGCATAAACGCAATATATATATATATATATATATATATATATATATATATATATATATATATATATATATAAAGAAAATTCAAAGGTCGTTAAATATCTTTAATAAATACACCATTTATCAAAGTAAAATTAACAAATAATAATTGTATGAAAGAAATATGAAAAAGGAATATATAAACGTTGGCTCACTTTCATTTATCAGACAATGGATTACATCACTAAGCGTCCTCTATAGTTTAACTTTCCTTACACAGTCAGCTTTAAGAATATCATAGAACGTTCTTAAACTTAAAATTTGAAAATTATCTTAGTCGAAGCGTTTCGTCCTCTGATGGATTTTATCTGGGATATTATATTGCAACAAGTACTTCTAAACAAAAGAAAAATGTTGTCATTTTTTAAAAATTTTAGAGACGCTCATGAATATTCATCAGGTTAACTGAAAAATCATGGTAAATTATAGAGGCTGCATGAAGTAGATAAGTGATGTAATTTATTAATGTCTAAGAAACGAAAGTCCACCGGAGGACGAAACGCGTCGGCTCAGATGTGTTTTTCTTTTGCCTCTATTCATATATATACTAACGAAAAATTCTCGACCGAGAACAACTTTGCCACTCATATCTAATGTTATCTATCTATCTATCTATATCTATCTATCTATCTATCTATCTATCTATCTATCTATCTATCTATCTCTCCCCAATATGATTGTTCTAATAATTGATCGGGTTATTGATATATCAACAACATAAAGAAGAATGTCTCATAGTGTGGCCTAAAAGTTCTAATAATAATAAATCCGACAAATTAAATAATAAATTCTAGAGATAAATATTTTAATGCTATGTATGTGTGTATCATTAAAAGATTAAATTAAATTAGTTTATTAAAAGTAAATTATATATGTATATATACATGTATATATGAAATAATCACACACACGCACACATAATATATAATATATTTCTGTGTGTGTGAACTAATAAAAAAGAATATGAATTCAATGGCAACTAATAACGGAGGTTTTATTTTAACTAAAATAATATACATTGTGAATATTTTATTATTTGAGAATTTAGGTATATTAAGAGTTTAATTTTAAATTACAGTTACGACGTTTCTTTAAAAAATGAATACATTCTAAAAGCTAAATGAAGCTTTAGTTAAAAAAATAATAATATACTTTCTTTATGGTACTTTTTTCTACAATATCCTATGATAATTTACTTACGATATCTTTTCTACGCAAATACATAAAAAATTTACCCAGACAAAAAAAGCGTACATATCCATTTGTGATTAACTGTAGTAATAATAACTGTGGAGACTAGTGTAGAATAATAAATTTTAGTACATTTCTTTTACTTCTTTTTCTTTCTATTTCTTTTATTTTACTTCCTCTTTCTCAGAAAAGAAACTTCAAAAAGGTGTTAATTCGACATGTTTAGCTTATAAAAAGCGGGCATTCGAACAATAGCAAGTATGCATAGATAGATAGATAGATAGATAGATAGATAGATAGATAGATAGATAGACACACACTGACACAAAGCGATATTTTACCAATATTTTCTAACAAAGAATTAATTTATACATTTGTATAGTCATACGTTCATACATATTTCGGATAACTTTAATTTATATTTTAAACGGCTGTCTTTTTATGGCATTTTCTAGTCTGATCAATGAATTTTTTCCAAGTATAAAATAGAAATATATTCCATTAGAATTATTCATTACTATATTATCTCTTTGTCTTGGGCTTTTAGACCGAATCAGATTAGCATATATATATATATATATATATATATATATGTGTGTGTGTGTGTGTGTGTGGATTATGAATATTCTACTAATTAATGTTTATTGTGAATATTTCAGTAATTGCTGAAAATATATAATATATATATATATATATATATATATATATATTTGTGTGATATTTCAAATATAACTAATATAACAAAATATAACTAAAATATATATATAAAAGGACAATATGAATAAAGACAAAAAGAAAATTTATCTTATGGAACGTTTCGTCTTCTGACAAATTTTATTTGTCTTGATATCCCGATGCATACACACACACAAAATATATATATATATATATATATATATATATATATATATATATATATATATATATATATATATATATAGCTCTATCTCTGATATTGAGCGCTTTCTAATAAGTACCGCGCATATAATATATAATTATAATATATATATATATATATATATATATATATATATATATATATATATATGAAATATGTCTTCCGGCATATATATCTCCCGATATTTATATGTATATATATATATATATATATATATAGATAGATAGATAGATAGATAGATAGATAGAGACAGACAGACAGACAATATTATATTTTAAGCAATATGTGGATTTTTCATATCCGACATTATTTCTCGTTGCTAGAGAAGACATATTTCGTGGGAACATTACGGTAGTAATTTAAGTAGACAACCCCGATTGCTTTTGCTTTTTTTTTTGTTTGTTTGTTTTTTGTTTTTGGTTTTGTTTTTGTTTTTTTTTTGTTTTTTTTTTGGGTTTTGTTTTATTTTGTTTTTCACCAGTTAAATTAATGTCTAGCGGCCTAGAGATCGCAAATCCCATTCAAGTCGGGAAACACATTTTACGGTAAAAAAAAATCATGATTAAATATTTATTTTAAAAAAGAAAAACGAATATGAATGGTTTGATTCTTGTCAAACGATGATGATCAAGAGAGAACCAGAGGACGGACGCTTCAACTCTTGTCAAGTGACTTCCAACCCGACAAAACATACAAACGAAGTCGATTTTACTTCAAGCGTTACATCGTTTTTTTTATTGTATCACTTATTGTGTGTCTCTTTTTCTTCCAATAATTTTGCTTTAGAGAGTGACGGGGACAGTAAATAGTTTTTTTTTTTTTATCGGTAAATAACAGTAAAAATGATTAGGACAAAAAAAATTACCTTTGTGCACGTTGAGTTTACACACCAATAATAACACGTCGAGATCAAGTGACAACAAGACTCCTCAATACGCTGCCTTCGTATTCTAACTGGATTTTAATAATAGGCGATTTCCATTCTTTTTCGTTTTTTTTGTTATTTTTTTTTTCAAATTATTGCTCTAGCCTCTTTGGGGATGTTTTTTAAACGCTTTCATAATGGTAGGTACAAAGCAGTAGTAGTAGTAGTTGAAATTCTTCTAATTCACATTTCTATCGAAACAACTTAGTGGCTATCGCAAGGGACCCAATGAAAAAAAAAATGGTAAAACACCTTACAGTAATTAAACCGGCTTATTATTTGTGGATGTTATGTTTCCTGCTTTGTATCCTGTAAAACGGCTGGTCCAAATTATGGTCCTTAGGCCTTGTAGAAGAATTGTCATTTTTAATTGATAGCACTTTTCTTATGGGGTGTTTCTAGTAGTGCAATCTTCTGGGCAACCTGTATGTTGATGTTACCTGGGACACTTTAAGTATAATTCTCCATTCCTTTTCTCACGAGGCCCCGAGCCCCGATTACTATTGGTAATTATTATTATTATTATTATTATTATTATTATTATTATTATTATTATTATTTGTAAGTTTACACCAGTCGGTGTTTTTGCTCTAGTTCGAATCAACTTCTTATTATTAATATTATTTATTTATTTTACGTATTTATTTATATTTATTTACTTTGAATTGCTATTTACCACAATTATGTACCAAATCATTCATCTGAGACTTTAGATAAATGAAATTCTCTTTATTTTTCGGTCTTAGGAAGTTATTGATTTTTTTAAAGCCTGTCAGCAGTACTCATTAACACAATAATTCGAATTTCAGATAAAAATGGGTTTCCTGGGATTTTCTTAATGTGTGTATCAGTTTCCTTTCAAATCATTCCTAACGCTCCTACAACCACTGGAATAATTTATATTTCCAGTGTTTTTTGTTTTATATATATATATATATATATTTTTCGCAGGATGTCCTGTGGTTATTACTAAAGACTAAGTGACAACAAGTTTCCTTAAATGTTTACAAAGTTAATCTTGCTGTCCCTAACAGTTAATGCAACGGGTAGCGGTTCACAAAGAAAAATAAGTGAGCCGAGTTTCGAATTCCAGCCGAGTACGTTGCATTCACTTTCGCACCTCTCTTCTCCCGCCAGCTATGGCCTAAACAACAGAATAGAATGGGGGCCCTATAGACTTGGGTAGCAACAAATCTAGGAAAATGAACATTCTGAATTGAAACTAGTCTAGAGAGGACTGGGCCCCGGCAGGCTATCTTGCCCAAGACATACCATTGCTTCCACGGCTGCAATACATTTGGTGGCCCTACGACCGTCAGGGGATACGGGACTCGTGATCGTGATCGAGATAAACATTCTCATTCTGTTGCAGGTAGAATGAAATGGACTGTGGAGTAGGCAATAGCAAACTTTTTTTTTATGATCCACTTTCCTCCTTCCATCTTTTTCTCTTTCTTCTTCTTCTATATGCGTGTCCATTCGGGACGTGAGCGATCAAGTCTCTCCACAGTTTCGTGTCGTTTTTAGGCCTTTACTAAGTCTGCTTTGTTGCAATTTATTTTAATATCTGTTCTACCAACCATTCAGATAGGTTACGCGATGTCACTCTTGCCTTCAATATGTACTTTGAGTGTCAAATTTTCTCTAAGATTTTGTCGTTGCTCACATGTTATAGTCCATGGTATTCTCAACATCCTTCTGTAGAACAACATTTCTGTTGCCTCGAGTCTCCTTTCCATATGTGCTGAGATTGTTCAGCATTTACTACCATATAGGAATACCGAGATTAAATAAAAGTTCAATTCTCCTGTTTCTTAAAACTTTGTTTAACTTTTGGAAGGCCTCCTGTTTAGCGTATTTTATTTTATTTCTAGAACGCATAATGAGGAAAGAGGGCTTGGAAAATATGATACTCACAGGACATAATGAAGGCAATAGGGACAGAGGAAAACAACGCATAACCGACCTAACAAATACGAGTAAATGGATGGCGGGACAAGGTGAGATGTGACAAATGGAAAAAATTTATTAAGAGCGCCAAATAACAAGAAATTGTGGAGAGCCATGATTGTCTACGTCCAAAAGAAACACGACACAAAGAAGAAGAAGAAGAAGAAGAAGAAGAAGAAGAAGAAGAAGAATATATTCTCTAGTTAGCTGAGAAATGTTCCACCTAGGGACATTGAGTGTGTTACCCTGGCAACGCGCATACTGTATAGCCATTGAAAAGATTATGGAGTTCATAATTAACTGCAGCGCGATGTTGTGAACTCCATGATCTTGACTCAGGTTCGGGTCAGTTGTCTTCCTCGGATCTCAAATTTTAATACTTTATCTGATTATTATTCATTTACCCAACTTTATTTTTTCCTGCTCGACTTCA